TTAGTTCCCTTCTTCTTTGTGTCGTACATGTTCCCCGAGCGGGTTTCCATATTCAAAGTAGGTGTAAATAGAAGAAAAATGATTATTCATTTTTGCCTATTTTAATCCGGTGGCCAATTGTTGCAGATTTGAGAGTACAATGTCAAATGAACAGTTCTAGTTTAAGCCAAATGGTTTCCAGTAAAGAAGAATATAGAAAATTTAACAAATTCTGTAGACTATCTCAACTTCCATGGACCTAAATTACATTAATGAATTGAAAATTTTAGTTTTAATTAGTATATATTTTTTATTGCTGTTATTTTTTTGGAATGCTCTATATTTGTGTCACTGGTTAGTGGTTGTAATTCTAAAGATATATTGGACTTTTGATAATATGTATGTAAATAATCATTGTTTCTTGTATAATTTATTGCTATAAAATGTAAATTTGAATATCTTTCACTCTTTCTCTCTAAAACTATAAATAATTTGTATATTTAAATTTAAAAACTATGTACATAAAATAGATTAAATATTTGCATGCAAATATTCACATAGGATATAGCGTGTGTTTTGTAATAAATAAATAAATAAATAAATAATAAAAATATTCATTTTTTATCCCCAAATAACCCAATTTATTCTTTTCTCTTCTTCCATTAGAGGGTCAAGTTTATGGCACAAAACAACAATATCCCCTACAAACCTGATTGCAGGCTTATTCTATCGCTGTATCCTGTTGAGCCTTATTTTCAATTCTCCTTTGTCCGCATCCGAGGCAAAATCCTGGATGAACTGCTCTTGAAATTTTCCCAGCTGGTAAAGATAGTCTTATGTAAGTTTAGCCAGGTTTTTGCGCTGCCAATCATGTTCATAGCTGCATAACGCGAGATTATGTTGTCTGCCCAGTGATAGAAGAAACCGATTTCTTCTAGAGATTCAATCCAAGAGCCAGGGTCTTCTGTCCCAGCGTACGTGGGGATTTCGATGTTAGAGTTCAAGACAACTGGGTCGGCACTTGTATCTCCGCCAATTATTACATGGTGTTGCAACTTTGTAGAGTCATCCACCTTGATTCCCTCTTTCTTTGTGTTGTACATGTTTCCCGAGCTGGTTTCTATAATCAAAGTCTTCTTCTTCTTATCTCTACTCAATCATATTAGAGTGTCAAGCTTGTAAAGCTTGAGATCATGACTAGGTGAAGTAGAATGCGTCTGCCTTTGTCATTAAGACTGGGAGCACTACTCAAAGATCAAAGTAAATAATATAAACTATTTTAGAAAAATATAATTTAGAGATAATCATCAAGTTTGGACGTTTTATCCAACACTTGGAGTGGATAAAGGTATTGCTGCTGAGGGAGATATGGAATTCATGGGGCATTTTGGGAGAAAATCCTACATTGCTATCAAATGACTAGCCATAGAAATACTGCCAGCCACCAACCTTTTTGATGATTAAGAAATAGATAATCTGATTCTGTTTGGACGTCTTATCCAACATTCGGAGTGAATGAAGGTATTGCTGCTGGAGAGAGGTAGGTGATTCATGGGACATTTCGGGGGAAGACTTTACGTTGCCATCAAAAGACTAGCCATAGAAATACTGCCAGCCACCAACCTTTTTCATGATTAAGAAGAAAACAATAATCATCCTGTTTGGACGTCTTATTCAACATTCGGAGTGGATAAAGGTATTAAAGCAAATAAAACACATTTACACAAAAGTTTATTTTCACAAATAAATCAAATTTATGCTGTCCTTACTGCGATTAAAAAAATTTGGAAGGCTTGGCTTATCAGTGGTGAACCCTCCCTGGAGGTTTCGCCAATCTAATCTACCAGACCGCTTCTTTAGAGCTCTAATACTGTATTGGATCATTCTGCTTTTATATGCTACACTGAAGGGTGGAATATCAGAAGTGGTATTTAAGCAAACTATCGACATAAGCTTTTAGGACAATAGAATTACATATAAATATTTTCATCGAGAAATGCTCTTCCGCAAACAATAAGGACAAACAAGATAGGCATAAATTAATTATAGGACAATAACGCGCCATCTATATACAAGAAAATAAAACATTTAAGCACGAAAGTTTATTCTTACAATAATCAAACTTATATACTGTCCTTACTGCTCATCATCCTTGGCTCATCATATAAGTATTGCTGCTGGAGGGAGATATGGGATTCATAGGCAATTTCGGGTGAAGATCCTACGTTGCCATCAAAAGATTAGCCATAGAAATACTATCAGCCACCAACCTTTTGATGATTAAGAAATATACAATCATCCTTTTTGGACGTCTTATCCAACATTCGGAGTGGATAAAGGTATTGCTGGTGGAGGGAAATATGGGATTCATGGGACATTTCGGGAGAAGACCCTACATTGCCATAAAAAAAAAACCTCCCATAAAAATACTGCCAGACACCACTTTTGATGAATAAGAAGAGGTGTGTTCAAAAAGTATCGCGACCTTTGTGTTTTTTCAAATATTATTTATTTATTCATGAATACCTATTTTGTCCCCTTCAAAGTAATCGCCATGAGATATTATACACTTGTGCCAACGGTTTTTCCAATCTTCGAAGCACTTCAAAAATCATTTTAAAAAATCTTTTCAGCTCCTCCTTCGATGCCGTCTTTATCTCGACAAGCGTAGCGTAACGTCGTCCTTTCATGGGCCTCTTCAGTTTAGGGAACAAGAAAAAGTCACAGGAGGCCAGATCTGGGGAATACGGTGGCTGCGGCATCATTAGTGTGTTGTTTTTGGCCAAAAAGTCGCGCACAAGCATCGATATCGTGGTGCAAAAGCCAATTTTTGTTCTTCCACAAATCCGGGCGTTTCTGGCGGATTGTTTCGCGCAAATTGCGCATAACTTGCAGGTAATATTCCTTATTGACCGTTCTAACCCTGTGGCAAGAACTCATGATGCACCACGCCCCTGCAATCGAAGAAAACTGTCAGCAAAACTTTCACATTCGACTGAACTTGGCGCGCCTTTTTCGGTCTTGGTTAGTGCGGCAGCTTCCATTGAGATGATTGAGCTTTGGTTTCCACGTCATAACATAAACCCACGCTTCGTCACCAGTTATGACCCTCTGGAGCAAATTTGGGTCGTCGCGGACAGAGTCCAACATCTCATTAGCAATGTTCATGCGATGCTGTTTTTGGTCGCAATTGAGCAATTTTGGTACGAATTTCGCGGCGGACCCGTCTCATGCCCAAATCATTGATAAAAATCGAATGGCACGAGCCAATCGATATGTTTAGGTCCTCAGCAACTTCTCTAACGGTGATTCGACGATTGGCCAATATCATTTTCTCCACTTCATTAATTTTTTCGTCTGTTGTTGAAGTGCTCGGGCGTCCGGCACGCTCTTCGTCGTTCACATCTTCTCGGCCTTCTGAGAACATTTTGTACCACTGATAAACATTGCTTCGGTCCAAGGTAGCTTCTCCGTATGCCACAGTCAACATTCGGAATGCATCCGCGCACTTAATTTCGTTTTTCACACAAAATTTGATACAGGTTCTTTGATCCATTTTTTTTAATAGGTAAAAATCGAAGACGATCCAAAACACCTGCAAGCAAAGCAGCTGTCAACAATTAAGTGAACATTCAAAATGGCCGAGCTTGTCGGCATAAGTGAGAGACATGAGTACCAACATAAAGCCACAAAAAGTTCGAAATTCGAATATACGTAACCCGCGAAAATTCAAAAGTCGCTATACTTTTTGAACACACCTCGTATATTATCCATGCTATAAATTATCGAGATTTATTTTCGAATCTATTTAGAAGTATTGAAGTTTAAAGCATTCCTGAATCCCAACTTATTACCCCTGGGCGTCTTAATCCTTCAATAAGATGCCGATATCATCCCAATAGGAGTTTACCCTTCTGACCGATTTCAAGCGTAAATTGAGACGTTTTGTTAACAACATGTTAAACATTGCCAAGTTAAACAAGTTCAATACAGACTATTTATGCTCGAGGTTCTTCGTCCTATGTGTGAGTAACCAATATTCATATATGCAACCAATATGCATATGCAAATAAAAGGAATATAAAGGTATACTAATATATAAAATATATAAATAGAATACTGAATCACGTTTTGTTTTTATTCGAGGGAATATATATATATTAGTTTTTATAATGAAACAAGGGATAAGACGCACATTTTACCATCGTCAAATATGTAATGTATAATACAATATAATGCGGATATGATTGTAGAACGACGTTTAACAAGTTTTATCACAAATGTTTCTTTTTACAGAACGAAAAATCGTAATTTTAATTATTTTAAGGAGAAATAACGACTATTCCTATCCTTAGGGGTGAATTATGAAAGGATAAATTGTGAAGAGTAAAGATTGAAAGGAAAAATAAAAGTGTCCAGGGATGGGAAACAAACCCACAGTGTTACGCTTACCGGGTAGATACCATGTCCACTAGGCTACCTAGGCTAAAATATGTAATGTACAAATTCTGGATAAGTATCGATTTTAACTATGACTATAACATAGAAACCAAATTTGACTCACTTTTAGAGGCTCATGTCTAATGTATAAAAATGGTGTAAATATATACTCTCTCAATATCTCTATATTCAACAATCCTTGCTAAACTAAAACTTTGCCTCATGTAAAACCGACTTTACTATGTGTATATAGCTATGGATATTTTAATATGTAAATATTACTATGTAAATAATGCTATGCAGTTAATAATAATGTCTAAATAAAGAGTTTTAAATAATAAAAAATGAATATACTTACATAGGCTTGGTAGTTCCACATCAGCTTTACTCATCCAACTGTCAATTCTTCTATATGTTATCAATCATCTTCTTTTTGATCATTCTTCAGCGTTACACAAGATCAGCCTTCAAATTCCTTCCAGAAATCTGGATAGTTTAAAACAAGATAGAGATCTTTGTGGAATTCCTGAAAGAGCCTTCAATGATGCGATGTGAGGACTTGACACAGAAGATGTATTCTCAAGAATCATATATCTCATTATGGAATAAGAATATATGTTAATATAGTCCAACTGTTCATTTGCATAATAGACTAATGTCTAAGCATTCTGTTTGATGAGTAAAATAGAATTTAGAGTTGAAATATATAATTTTTTCTGGTAAAACCTGCACCGATGGATAGTGGACTACCTAGACCGAAGTCTGTATGCTGTACGTCATCTTAGCTCATTACCATAGGGAATTTGATTGGAAAAACTACCACCTAACGGCCTATGTTAGGAGGATTTTGTATCTCGACACGCTCGGCTTTACCTACTTTCCCTCGGTAAAAAATTAAAGACTTATAAAATGTATAACCTTTGGTTTATATAAATTCTACAAAACCGCAGTCACCGTTCGTAGGAGATTAATAGAATCGCCGAATATCGTGGTCCATTTGGATGTGGAAAGCAAAGACTGAAATGCGGCTGATTCCACACTCGCCTTTTCAGTAATACGCTAAAATGTGATACCTATGCACTGTGGATTCTGTGGCCACTGGACATGCATCGGATCTGGAGGCTGTTGGGCTCTGCGCTACCTGGAGTATAGGAGCTCCATCTATGCTCCCTTCCTGTGATGAATCTGTATAAGACCGGTGGTCTTAATAAAGCTGTGTGTGGGGTATAAAATGTATGCTAAGTATTTATAAAAACATAAGGCGCCTCTCCCGTTAAATTAAAGGTCAAAACTACACACCATATAGACGCCAAAACTAGACGGTCTATAGGTGTCGTCTAGTTTTGACGTTTAATTGACGTGAGAGGCGCCTTATGCTTTCAAAAAGCGATTTCCCTCCCGGAATAAAATTACATCTTTATGCTAAGTAGTTATACCTAATCAATAATCATTTGTAGATTTAATACAATAACATAGCATTCACCTTATTCAGTCTTGATATCCTATTTTTTATATTAGATAATAAAATAAAGAAGGCATATCCTGACCAGGAGCACATGTTTTAGATGGCAGAGCACCATCTGGTGGAATAGAAATCAACTAAACATTGATTTAACCTGTTCCCTGATATTTGGCTAACCCAATTTCTCGATAAATCAAGAAAAGCCATCCATGAATGCGTTTCGGGCTGTTAGTTATTTCACATATTAGACAATATATAGATAGTGTATCTATGGCAAGAAAGCTCTCGAAGCTAAAATAGTGTTTACATTCATAAATTTACATCTCCTTAGTTATCCTAGACACCAAAAATAACAGTGTTCTATTGATGACTTACTATATATATATATTGCCACGTGGAAAATTAAGGAAGACAAAAACTTCAGGAGGAAACAAAATTTATTTCAGGAAAGGACAAACTATGAAAAGTAAACAAAAGATAAGCCAGGAGGGAAATTTACAGAGTAACAAAATATAAGCATGAAAATGACCACTCTGTCAATAAAAAATAATAAAATTAATAAATACTTGGTTACAATATATATATAAAAAAATAGCTGTTACAATTAGTAGATAAAACAGATGAAAGTTAACCATTGATGATCATCTAGTTTTCAATATGATGTCGAGCGAATACCAAATCAAACTATCTGTGATAGAGAGACACAATGACCTAAAACAAAAAAACAATATAATACATAATCATGTTTATCCTATTTCTCCACTGGATATGCGTCAGACCTGGAGGCTGTTGGGTTCTGTGCTACCTGAAGTATAGGACCTCTATCTATGCTTCTTTCCTATAATGAATCTGTATAAGCTCTTAAAGATTTCTTGAAAAAGCCATGGCCCACCTGTGCTGTGTGAGCAGAAGAGCTTAAATTGACTGGTTCCATATGTAAAATACCTGTTTTATTTCCTCTTTTCGCTCTCCACTTCTCCCATCCATATTTCCAATTTTTTTTCTTATTTTTTATTCTTTCTTATAATCTGTATATATTTACCATATGTATATAATCTTTCTCTCCATTTTTTATTTCCCCACTTTCATAGGTTTCTCCGTCTTGTAAGCCCAAGGAGAATCCTCATGTAAGACCTGTGTGTCTTAATAAAGGCTTTTGTTGTGTGTGGTGAATCTGTATAAGACCGGTGTTCTTATAAAGATGTATGTTGTTGTATACTATTTTATATCTTTCTTCCTCTTTGATATAGATATATGCTTCTTTATTTGTATATATAGCGAATGCATTTTCCCTTTAAATTTGGACATTTTTCTCTTATATCGTCCGAATCATTTGATCTTCAAAAGCGAATGAGAGAGAAGACTTGACCGTTCTAGCTTACATAATTTTAAGAAAAAGGTTTCAAAAATTGATATATAAATAATAACAATGAAATTTTTATAACAATTACTGGAAATGTATTTATTTTCAATAATTATATTAAATATTATCTATACAGACCTTACTGCAATGATATAAGTTATTGAATGAGAGAGCTTGGCTTATCAGTGGTGAATCTTCTCAGGGTTTTTACAACCTGATGAGCCAAGCCTTCTCATTCAATAACTTTTATCATTGCAGTCAAGTCTGTAGAGATAATAGTTGATGTAACTTTTGAAAAATAAACACATTTCCAGTAAATTTAGTTATTACAAATTTTATTGATAAAAGGGAATTGAATTTATATATAATACCAACAAAATATTTAACCTAAATACAAAAGTGGTATTCTAACAAAGCATACATTGCACACAACACAAATAAGATTACTCACCTAGAACTTGTGTTTCAGAAAAAAGTCCCCGAAGAATGTCTGATAAGGTTATCATTCCAGAATATGCATTTACAAGTTGATCTGTATTGTAAAAGCATGTCTGGAATGGCATCCCTTCAGGAAATCTCCATTTTTATCTCTTTCCCTATCTCCTTGGTTCCTACACACACAAACAAAACTCTTTATTAAGAAAAAGGCATCTCCTTATCGTGCAACTGAAAGTAGTCTGATGACTTGCGCCATCTATCGGAATAAATATCAACTATTATTGTTGATTTTTAATAATTCCAGAATTGGCCAAATACCCATTCTTGATTAATCAAGAAAAGCTAACCACGGACGCGTTTCGGGCTGTTGGCCCTCATCAGCGTGGTGCAAGCTGTACCCTCAACGACCATAAAACTGGTCATTCAGGCATCCTGAAAAATCATGAAACGAGTAGTTAAGGCCAGAATTGCGTGAGAACGCTACGTTTGTTGTTGTTGTCGTGTCCAATGAAGAGCCTCAGATGTCTCCATACATCTCTATCACAGCAGTCGCCATGTCCACTATCTTGGCTGTGTAGACCCAGGTAACGTTTTCTTTCCTTATTTAAAATATAATAAAAATTAATGAAGCTTCCAGGTCTAAGTTTTTGTGCACAACTTTATTTTCATGATTTCGGACTTGTCAGTCCTTTAAGAGTAGTATTAACAAATTAATGATAAATACTATTTTTATACTGTAATATACCTTATAATAATTTTATAATATACTCTGTTTAATCAATTTATTTTTGATTGTTTGGATTTGGCAGCACTGTAATTATTGTTGTTGTTATGAATATATTTAAAGGTGTATATATAGCATTAAAAGATATATAATTAAAATTTGTTTCTTAATTTGGTAAAGCATATTTAATTATTTAATCGAAGGAACACCACATATACAAATTATTATTTACATATTTTAAATACTTATGACATTGTGAGAAATATATTATAGGTATTTTAAATAGGTAAATAACAATTTATATATAAATAGTATTTATCATTAATTTGTTAACGTAATACTCCTGTTGAAGGACTGATAAGTCCAAAAGTTTGAAAATAAAAGGTTTGTACAAGAAACTTAAGCCCTGGAAACTTTATTTATTTTAATTATATTTTAAAAGTGTAAAACGACATTTGAAAACTATTCGCGTGTGATTTTTTGTTCAAAGGAAACACATGCAGGATAATTTTAAAATGTCGTTCTACAATCATAAGCCGCATTAAATTGTTGTATTAAATATTTTTAAAGTGTTATCAAGAAAATATTTTTAAAAAAGTTATAATAAGGAAGACTATTAAGATGAGGTTCTTAAAAACAGACAAATTATTTTTATACAGGTTAAAAGAAATTCAAAATGCATATCGTTATATTGAAGAAATATAATCGTAAATTTTATTAATTACTAATAAAGAAACAATATAAAAAGATAATTCAATGAAAAGCCAAAATGTCTCAAAACATATTTATTCACTTCATAAAAAAAATACAACCTATAAAATAACTCTAAATAAAAATAATTGTGTAGAAAGGGAGAAATATTGTCACGAAATTGGTTTATGTAAATCAAATGCTAGTAAATATGTAAATATGTTTATGTTTAATGTTATATAAGGAAGGTATGTAAATTTGTAACTGATATTTCATTTTCTTGTTTCTAGTTTTGTTGTGAGGGAAACATCACTCACAAAGTTTATCATTTGATCAATAAAACTCTAAAATGATATCGCGACAATATTTTATTTTCTCTATTCCAAAAGTATAATAAGACGAATTTAAAAGCAGGGTCCTTAGTCAAAAATAAATTATAGAAAATTTAATGACTATTGAAAAATGAAAAATACGGAGTTTTGAGAAACAAAATGACAAAAAGTGTCTATCACATCTCAGGAAGACAAAAAAAAAGCAATCATGTATAATTAAAAAAAACCTCAGTAGCAAATAATAATTGAAGAGGCGTGAAGAAGACAAAGTTTTAGAAAAACAAAGAAAGAAAAACGATGAGATTTCCACACATCCCTGGGGAAAAACAACAAACAGTTTGCCACAATGGCTTCGTAAGAGGGCTGGAATTAGCAAGCTCCTTTATTAGCAAGTGTTGGGGATGAGCCAGTAGAGGTTACGTCTTGTAAGCTTCCTAAAGACAAAGACTAGATAGATATGGTACAAGTCGCACCCCAGTGTTTAGACAATTAGGTTTATAAAAACAGCCTGTCTCAATAGATTGACGGCTGCAAGTTAAAGATGGAAAATTGCTTGGGATGGAAACTCTTCTGCGAATAAAATGATACCATAGAAAATTGGGATTAAGGCAGAGTTAAATATCATAGCATATATTCTTTTCACAATATTATCAAATTTTGTATGTAATAGTGTGCATATGTTATATAAAAATATTATTTTATTTAAAAAAATATATATCATAGATTCAAATACTCTGCTAAATCGACCGCCAGAGGTTACGCTTCCCTTATAAAAACTCATTGTTGTTGTTTCCCGATGGCCGGCTCAAACCTTTGTACATTATATAAATAAGCTTTTCATTTTTTTTTATTCTTACGCCTTAAGACAGGCAGTACTTTTATCAAATTATGTTTTTTTAAATATATTCCTTTAGCTCAATTGAAGCTATTTCTAATCTTCAATATTTTTATTATACTTTCAAGATTTTAACCACGACTGCATCACCATAGCATAATCCTCAACATACCAAAATCAGCAGAAATCTCATTTTTTAAATATGATATATATATATCACCCAATTTTATAATCTATTTTATATATTTATCTATAATATATATAGTGTGATGTGAACGCCCGATCTGGCACACGCTAATAACATTTATTTTTGTAAAAATTTCATTCTGTTGTAATATTTATTACAAGGTTGTCCTAAAAGTTCATAAATACTTGCTAAAAATTGAAATCCCAATATTATTCGCTGTTATGTATAATATCTTTGTATTATATATAAAGTAATTGTATTATCAAAATTCGAAACTATTTTAAAGGCGTTAGATTCTTTTTGAAATTATAAACATTTAATTAATTATATAATATAATATAATAAAATAAATGTTGATATAATACTTATAGAGACACGCCTTGGCAGATGCCAGGACTGTAGATACATTTACAGTACAGTATAAGACAACTAACTATCCACCATGCTTTTTTAAAATTTTATTTCAATTTAAACCGCTATGTCCACCTAGGACACTTGCGCTGTCATACATGTATGACATTTGTCTATACATATATATATACAAAAATTTTAGGCCGTAAATAGAATAGTCATATGATATTTACAATGAAAAAAGAACTGTGTATAAAATAAAGAAGTGTCTGGCAATATGTACAATAAGCATAATATAAATGATCAATTTCTTAAAAGATATTTGTTGTACTATCCACCATGATTATCATTGCAACGTACATTTAGAAAGCATTAAATGAAGGCCCAAGGTCACCTTGTGGTTGTAGAAGCTATTGGGAGACAACGCCCATGGGGAAACAAAAAAAGTAAAGTAAGAGAAAAAAAAAGCTCGCAGGACCCCCGAAGGCTCCTGGGCGGGACTCACTCTCCGCGAGCGGTCTATTCCTGGACCTCGACTGAAATAAATTCCGCTGATGGACTTCCAGATAGTCTTTCTCTTTGTCTTCGGTACACAGTGGGAACACGGGGGTTAGAAGGTCTAGCCGGCCATCAAAGACTGCGTCGAGCATTTCTAGAACTATCATGGAATCTTCTAGAAGCTGGAAAACTTTCTTGGCCTACCACGTATGTAATGTCCTTATGTTTATTTGACGATAACCAGCAAGAAGTAATTGGGAAGTTTTATCGTGATACTCCTGTAGAAGGACTGACAAGTCCGAAAGCTTGAAAATTAAAAAAATTGAACAAGAAACTTAACCCTGGAAGCTTTATTTACTTTATACATGTATTTATTTATTTGTTAAGGCAGACAATCAACGTATGTTTATATTTTGTTACATATTACCACAGGGTCCAACTGCAACTTCACAGAGTACCCTCAGTGATAATAATATAATCACTGATAAATGATAATTTAACGAAATACAAGAAGAATATGCTGTAGACGTCCCAGCTGCCGTTACAACGTACTCTTCCTTCATACTCTGTTTGTTGCATTAAACTAGATTATAGAACGACATTGACAATTTTACCGCAAAATTTTTCTTTTGAACGAAAAATCGTAACTTATTTTAAGAGAAATAACGATTATTTCTACCCTTTAGGATGAAGTATGAAAGGATGAATTGTGAAGTGTCATGATAAACGGAAAAATAAAGTGTCCAGGGATGGGAACCCACAGTGTTCCGCTTACCGGGCAGATGCCATGTCCACTAGGTTACCCTGGACATATTTTTCCGTTCGTAAATATTATATAAAGTCAATTTATAATTCAATATAATGCGGCTTATGTTTGTAGAACGACGAATTGTGGAGCCAAATATGGGTCAAATTTCTATCATGTTAACGAAGAAAATAATCCTAACACAAAAAATCAAATTATCAAAAATAAATTTAAAAACTCCTACACAATTTATAATAAATGTTGACAAATATAAGGTTGTCCCAAAATGTCGTAAACATTTAATGATTTATATTTTGCAAGTGTTTACGAACTTTTGGGACAACCTTGTAATTCTGAAACTTGGTCCACCTGCTGATTGACCACCCTTGATATAGAACATCAGAGATTAAATCCTTCTTCTATAAGAATTCTGTTATAATTTTACCAAGGTTACCAATATACCTAGGTTGTCCTAAAAGTTCGTAAACACTTGCAAACACTAGGTAATATTGGTAACCTTGATGAAATTATAACAGAATTCTTATAAAAGAATGATTTAATCTCTGATGTTCTATATCAAGGGTGACCAATCAGAAGATGGGCCAAGTTTCAGAATATCAAGGTTGTCCCAAAAGTTCATAAACACTTGCAAAATATAAATCATAATATGTTTACGAACTTTTGGGTCAACCTTATATTATTCCTAGTATGTGTACACATGAGGTATAGGCCATGGTAATCATAGTAGGTAGTACTTGGCGACTTGGGTACTTACAAATGTACCATAGACCCGTTTGATTACTTGAACTTACTAGTAGGGATGGAATTTCACAAGAATTTGGAACCATTGGAGCAATTTTATATTCAGAAAAAAATGTCCAATGCGGGATTCGAACCTGGGTCATGGCGGATCGACGGTTTAAAACGGTTGTCTACCGATCCCCATTTTATAAATACTAAACTCTGAAAGAGTTGAAGCGCTATTTTGATGTGAAGATTTTAAATATTCTTCCATACACTCTCTCTCACTCCATAAGTCATTACTATAAGGTTATCCCAAAAGTTCGTGGTTTTCTCATTATTTTGGGAATAATATTATTACGGCGAATACATTGTAAATGTAGTAATGCGACAACAAAATGTTATCATTGACCTGTAAACATAGCAGAAGATATTCCAATACCAAATATTCCTGAGAATTAAGAGATTATCAATCATATTTTTAGATAATAAAGTAAAAGTCTAAAGATATGAGTATCTTTTATTTAAACGTTTTTCAAGCTTTGGGATAACCATGATAATACTCTAGTTCCCCAGCAAGCCCTTTCTTGTTTCTCTCCCCTTTGACACAATTGTAAATAACATTGCTGATTATTGTAACTATGTATATACCCTCTTCTACTTGGAGAAGTTGTATAAGACCAAAGGGTTATAACAGGGACTTTTGTTGTTGTTATTACTGTTATTCTTGCATGTACCCTACATTTCTGTGCTTGTAGAATCGTATAAGACTAAATACATAATACAATTACTTTATACATAATACAAAGACATTATACATAATGGCGAATAATATTGGTATTTCAATTTTTGCAAGTGTTTACGAACTTTTAGGACAACCTTGCATATTCTAACCGGATAGAGGTTTTAAATAAAAAAAAAAAAGAAAAAAGTAGTAATGCGACATATCAACATATGAAAAAAAAATATTTTTTTGGACTTATCATCCCTTTGATGGGAGTATTATATTAATGAGAAATAAGAATTTATAAAAGAAACTTAGCTCATATTAAAGTAGGTTTATTAACCAATATTCAATATAGTTAATCTAAAATACCCAATACAAGAGTCTAGCATCAGTATCATTATAAAAGGATAATCGAAAAAATTCAATATAACAGAGGTATGGTAGATTAAACTAGTGAAACCGCTGGGAGGGTTCACCACTGATGAGCCAGGCCTTCCATTAATTTTTTCCATTGTAGTAAGGACAGTATAAATTGTTTATTTTTTAAAAGAATCATACGCGTTTATAATGGTTTCAAATTTTCATAATAGTTAAACTCTGTTTAGCGAAACTTCGGTGTGATGAGAAACCAGATATTTGAATACCTCAACTCAACATCGTCCGTTATCATTGACCTGTAAACATAGCAGAAGATATTCCAATACCAAAAGATTCCTGACGGCCGCCCTTCAAGAGATTATCAATCCTATTTTTAGATAATAATATGTAATAATAATATCTATGGATGAGTATCTTTTATTAAACGTTTTTCAAGCTTTTGGGATAACCATGAAATACTCTAGTTCCCCAGCAAGCCCTTCTCCCCCCTTGACACATTGTAAATAACATTGCTGATTATTGTAACTATTGTATATACCCTCTTCTACTTGGAGAAGCTGTATAAGACCAAAGGGTCATAATCAGGGACTTTTGTTGTTGTTATTACTGTTATTCTTGTATGTACCCTAAATTTCTGTGCTTGGAGAATCCGTATAAGACTAAAATGTCATAAAGCTTTTTGTTGTTGTTTTTAGGATAACGCCCTCCTACATGAAAAATTGATACAAAATGAAACTATGCTATAGCAAGTTATATGTACATTTTAAAATTGACATAATATCAGTTTTTAACCTATTTTAGAATTTTAATGTAAATTTTATAATGTACTTATAACTTGCCATAGTATAGTTAAATTTCATTTTGTATCAATTTTTCCTGTAGATGGGCGTTATCCAGAAAGCTCGAAAAACGTTTAATTAAAGATACTCATTCTTAGACATTTACTTTATTATCTTAAATTGCTAGCAAAGGATTATATTGAAAATTATCAATCTTAGTCCAGCATGCCTAGAAAATCTCACAAGAAATGACATGGCGTGACCTCAGTAATTGGACTTCCACTGACATTGTAGATAAAACCATCTCTTCTCTTTCTTATCTCCACTCCATCATATTAGGGTATCAAGCTTGTAAAGCTTGTTGATGGTGTCTGCTGGGGAAGAGTTGAGTTTGACAACCATCATGACTGGATGAAGTAGAATGCGTCTGCCTTTATCATTAAGACTGGGAGCACTACTCAGTGGCAGGCCGACTTAGCTCCAAAAGAATGGCCGCGTCTGAAATGAGGAACAGACACTATGTACAGCCGCTCCTAACATGGAGTACAAAACGCTACTCATCCTGTATCCCTGGATTAGGAGCCCTTACAGGGTACTATTAGCCAGGCCAGCTGAGCACAGGTTTTTTAGTGAGCTTGTTACTGCTCCCCCTCCTCTTTTTTCATCGGGCTTGGAATCGGCAAAGGAGGAGTTAAATGAAGACTTAGATGTGTGTATGTCAGATATACATTTCGGGTAGTTGGTGATTTCTGTACTTGGCTCCAGGAACCTACTGGGTTAACTAAATAAAAAACAGCTCACAGTTCGTCTAAATCAACTACATTCAAATACCCCAGCCTTTTTACGTTATCTTGAAGATAGAGTTGTCTGGCCGGCATTCATATTTCTTAAAAAATAGACATTTCATCCAGTTAACATTTTATTTTCTTAACATTTCAACAAAAGTCTTTTGTCTTCGTCAGGAGAAATATAAATAGAGCTTTAGGAAGGCGTTAAATTAGTCTTGTT